TGTGTAAATACTGAATAGTTTCTCTAGTGTGAGAAACTGAAAGTGTAAATAAGGACTAAAAGGTATAATAGATAATTTGAAATAGGAAGAAAAGGGGCAAAGGGGAAGGGAAAGTGGCAGAGGTAGGGGAAAGGAAAGAAGGGAAAGAAATTACTATGAGAAAATGAAAAAATGGAAACAAAGTCTTTGTAAATAGTGAGGAATGGAGGGGTTGAAGGGAGGGCAGGGGAATGGGGAAAAAATAAGAACTAAGAGAGACTATGTAAAGGTGCAAATTTCCAATGATGCATGTCATTATACTGTATACCTACAATGTACCAGTTCGATCCCCAGTATCAAAAAAAAAGGAAAGATTAAAAATATATATATATTGCAAAAAACAAAACAAAACAAGATAATTACATCTGGGATTTTAAAAGGTGGTGTTATGGTAACAAAAGGAAGCTATGTAGCATCTCCTTCAGCCTTTTAGGTACAGTAAAAGCCAGTAAGTTTCTATCAGTTCCATAAGATTTTATGTGTGTGTATAGGCTACCTCTTTTCTTTTTTTTGGTACCGAGGATCGAACTTGGGTCCTTGTGCTTGTGCAGCAGGCGGCGAAACCACTGAGCTAAATCCCTGGCCCTAGACTACCTCTTTTCTACTGAGTGGTTTATTTTGAGATTATATTTCATTAAGGTTCTGAGCATATGACAAAACATCAAGGCAGGTGCAGCCAATTCCCTTTCCTTCACAAGCTCATCACCTTGTCTAATTTAACATCTTTACTATATATCAACATTTGATGACATGGGCAGTACAATTAAGAAATACCCTCAGAACAGCAATGTCAGCATTGGGAATATGTACTTATTTGCTGATCAGTAAGCGGCAGTAGTTGGTGTATAAACTATGTAAGCAATGGGACATATGTTTTAAAATTGAATATGCTGTCTTTCAGGAAATAAACAAGACCCATTTTCTAAATCTGTTAGTCTTGCTAATGATCCTGAAATATGACAATCTATTCTTGGTTATCAGATTCAAATGTAAACAAATCAGGTTAGTCAAACGTGCTTCGTTAAGAATACACATCGGTGGCCTGGAACAGTGGAGCAGCTTTATGCAATCAGGCCCCACTCTGAAGGGGATGGAACCACAATTACACGGTCCATCAACTTTCAGCTATCAAGGCAAAGGGGCAGCTTTTGGCCAAATTAATCCTCTGCTAAGTTTATTAAAATCCACATTCTTTTCCTATGACACTGTCTGTTAATTAACATAGCAAACTTAGAGCTCCAAAGTCTCAGGTCCCAAGATAAATATCTGTATTCCACAGGGAAAATGGATCACAGAAATGGAAACCATTAAACCATTTAAATAATTTTGAAATTCATGCTTTCTTCACACCAATTCCCAAGTACATGCAAAGAGCAGATTAAATGGATTCATCTCTTTTGGACTGACTGGATCAGCAATCTGACAGTGATCATCTGAGTGACACAATCCTATGACTCAGGAACAGAGCATCTCGGGGATAGGAGAGATAAGATCGCTTACCTGTAAGGAATAGACTCTGTTAGTGTGCCCCTGCAGCGTGTGTAGACAGGTCTCAGTCTCCGGATCCCATACTTTCACCATGAAATCATACGCTCCACTAACAACCCTCCTGCCATCATACTGAACGCAGCGCACTGCTGCTACATGACCCATCAAGACATGTAAACACTGGCCTGACTCGATATCCCACACCCTAAGAGTGGCATCTCGAGAACCACTGACAACTCTGTGAGGGGAAAAGAGAAAAAGTGCATTATAACTTTCAGTAACGTGAGCAAATATAAATGAAGCCAGTGGTTTTTAAAGCCCCCCGCCCCATTTTTCTCGAGCATGTATACCTGTTTTCTCAAGAAATCCTATGTAAAACCTTGATATATAAACACACTACTGAGTAATTTTGGTTGAAATGGAAAGTGGGGATGCCTATAATTCCACCTGGTTGGTTGGTTCCCTTACGTATGGCCTTTATTTCCAGCACTGTGAGGTTCTGTGATTTTGCTTTGTTTTTGCAATGCTGGGAACAGAACTTAGCACCTTGCACATGCTAAACAAGTGCTCAACCACTGAGGTATACTTTCAACCCCTGTGAGGTTCTGTGCAACAGAGTTTGAAAACTACTGTATTGTATTAAAAAAAGAAGGTGGTTGTCAATATATAAAATGTGGTCCTGATAATGTGGACATATGTATAAAATGTTAATGGGGGAATTTGAGTGGTATTATTTTGAATAACTTAAATGTCTTCTTCATCCTGTCATTTTCCCAATTTTCAATTATTACAAATTGCCATTGTGATTAGGTAAAAAATTCAATAATGATTTTTCGGCAAAACATTTTCGAATCAAAATTTGTGATTTAAAAACTTACAGATGGTTCATGCTACATATTCTGGTAAAATTAACTAGTTTTAGATATGTTTTCAAAGGCTGTTCATGTTGTTAATGCTTAGATTTACAAATATTCTATAGGTAATGGGGTTGCTGAAATACACAGATGTATGAAAGATATCTTTCATACATATATGTATCTTTCATACAAGATATCTTTCAAAGATATCTGCAGAAGCAACAGAAATTCCTGGCCCATCATTATTAAAGTTATACTCTTCTGAAAACCACAGTAATACAAATGATGCAATCATCTCTGGATTACAACACAAAGCTGAAAACCCAGGTATACTTATGTCATTCCTAAGACAAAAAGAAGTGTCAGTTTCCATACTGGAGAGCAGAATGCTGAAGCATGGAGAGAGTTAAGCCAGAACATAACTGCAATTCAATCACCAGGCTTCTCGATACCCATATTCTGTAAGTTTCAACTACACAGCACACTTTTCAAAGTAGATTCAAATTATAAGTGAAAGGTACTCTCCTTCACACATTACAAATCTAGAGTGAAGTTTAGCTTATTCAATGATCTTCAGTAAAGAATTAAAGGTATAAGAGTGCTGTGGTTACTCTGGAACTTTCAGAGAGATCTTTTTTAACAAATGAAGTAGAAAATACATTTGTTTAACAGGTGAACGATGAAGACATGTCAATAGGAAGATAAGATTTTAAAAGAAGAGCATCAAGGAGAAAAGAGAGGAGGAGAAAATAGCAACAGCAAAGGCACTGAGTAGGAAAAGGCAAACAGTCTGGATCAGATGAAATAATTTCTTCCTTAATTTGGTAGGCAACAGTAGACTCCCAACATTTAAGAACAGGCCAGTGATACCATCATAATTATATGAAGGCTCTCTGTAAACTGTATAAAAGGTGAGAAGACAGTATTTGAAAGCTACGGCAATAGTTCCAACAGGTAGTAAGAGAATGAATTAACTCCCAAGTCTCTCTTTTGCCTAGATTTGGGGGTTATGACAGAGCTGGACTGGTAATTAAAAAGACTCCGAGGCTTGAAACCCTGAGTGAATTTGTGCCACTTGCAGAAATATAAACACCAAGAAAATGACTTTTGTTTGAAGATGATAAATCATCAAAAAATAAAAAGGATTAGTGATTATAGTTTCAAGAAAGCAGCCCCAACATATCAAATACAAAAGGAAATTCAAAGGCAAGTCTGCAATTTTAAGCCAAGACATTATGGCTTTCCTAGTTTAGAAACATTAAAGTCTACTTTAAAAAATCACTATCACTATATCAGTAATGATTCATGAATGACAGAAGGAGTCCCAACTAACTGGGATTTTCCTGTACCTTTTCTCATGGAGATGCATACAGCGCACAGTGGAAGTGTGCCCATACAGGGTGTGTATACATTCCCCAGTCTCTGCATTCCACACTTTGAGAGTCCGATCTGTAGATCCACTAATGATGATATTGTCTCTCATCTGTGACGACCAGACTCCACCTGTATGTCCCACCAATGTTCTCAGACACTGGAAAAACACTTAAGATGATTAATTTTGGGTAGAAAGGAAAGTTATTTAAATACTATTTTAATAGCTCATTAAAATCTGGAATAAATTATAAAGTGAATTTGAATGGATCATCAGAAAAATTTTTGGGCGTTGATGTAACATGACCCCATCACTACTGTTTAGTTTATTCAGTAGCATCATATACTTACACATGTACACCAACTGAGGAACAAATATGTAGAAAGCAAATGTGATATGAAACTTATATAAGACACATGATAGAAACATTCGGTGTGACAGAAAGCAAACAACAGATGAATGCAATGTGCGAGACTTTCCGCCTGGCCTCTGATGAAATAATACTAAAACTTCAATTTGGGGTGTTGCATAGAAACCCACTCTATGAAAGAAGGTCCACAGAATTGGGTGTGGCTACATACCACACTTCATCTAAATCTGCCCCAGGGCAGTAGTTAGGAGCCAGCCAAGCTACTGCTAAACAAGTAAAGACAGACATTAAAACCCTGAAATAAATCCAAACCTAGTATTGCACCATGAAATATGAAGCTGCTTTTAAAAGTTTTAACATCTGACTTCTAATATTTATAAGATTCTTGTCCAAGAAGCAGCATTATAAAAGATATTTTTTTAAAAATGGATTTTTTTCACATTCTGTACAACTTTGCAGGTGGCCAATTACTTAATCCATGATAGATGAAAATAAATATTCACCAGAGAATCATTAAAGGAATAACACTGTATGAAGTAAATCTTTTGCTTGGACTGTTTTTTTCTTCAAAGCTGTATTTAAATACCTACTCTGCTTAACTTCTACATCACAAGGGTCTGAGGTTAACTCTAGATTAACATAATCTTAACTTCTAAATTATTGGTAGCTTATTAACAAAGCAGTTTATAAAGACAAATAAATGTCTATCATACTTTTGAAAGACTAAAACGAATGAAGTGTAACTTGGATGGGAAAAAGCGAGCCAAGAAAAAGATACATATCTGAAAATATTTAAGTCACAGAGATAGACAAACTATTTAAATGAAAAGAAAAAAATGAATGACATTCTTATCATGAGAAACATCATCAGCATCACTCCAAGATGACTGTCACAAATATGGGGGTGGGAAGGATGCTAAGCTAGAAGCCCTGATATTTGCTATCATAATAAGTGAGGATCAAAAATGAATCCTTATTTTCCTTTTACTGGTTGATGCTTGTGGAGATAAACTCAAAATGGTAACTCTGTGAAGTGCAAGAAGAGGTAGACTTACTTTGCCTGTGACTGCTGACCAAACTTTTAAAGTGTTGTCATCAGAACCACTAACTATCCGGTTCCCACAGAACTGTAAGCAGGTGATCACATGATCATCATGTCCTTTCAGCACCTATTAGAGAGGTGTACGGGTTAGGAATATGCTATTCTTTAAAATACTGGTGAAAAGAAAAGATGAAGCCATTAAGTAGGAACTGTAACTCATAGTCCATTTCTAGAATGAAAATTTATATAAAATGAAGCATCATCCTTCCTGGCTGATGAATCAACCTTAAACATTTTATCATTTCCATTTTTTATTATTTACACTTCAAACACCCACCATTAAAATTTTACTAAGTCAGGATCTCATAAAGATGTTTCAAAACCAAGTGTATTTTATAATAATCTATTTCACGTTTAAAGAAAAGTAATACGTGTCTTATAAACACAAGAACTTTTAACACACAAGAACAAAACACCTTCTAATTAGAAAGACAAGTAACAATTATCAGCTTTTTCAACTTAAAAACATCTGCCAAAATGTACACACATTGTCTCCTCAAACTGTTTCTCTGTTATAAAACTACATCTTAAGAATTTGAAGCATTTTTACTATTCTTTGTATACTTGAAATGTAAGACAGAAAATCAGGTTTCTGCTTCAATTTATAAAAATAAAACACAGAAAAGCCACCTTTGGCCAAAACACAGACACTCCTCAAAAAGTCATGTTCAGGCAATGTGAGCAGAGGGAGCTCCATTGCAAACTCTTAGGAAGAATATATATGACATAATAAATTTCAAGAAGATATTCAGAGATTTTAATTTATGTAAGATGAAAGAATGAAAGACGTACAATTCATCTCATCTTTTCTTCAAGTAAAATTGTTGTCAGGTTAGAGAAATTAGCAGTAAAGGAATAGTATCAGCTATATTTTCTGTTATCTTAAAATACAGTTTCCTTTCCACTGAAGACAGGTGTCTAGTTATACTGCTTGCCAAGACTTGAAACAGTACATGAGGTAGGACCACTGACTAACAGTTTCCATTACAATGTAAGCGTTCAGTTACCTTAGGAGATTTGAGTTCTCCTCGTCTCCAGTTTGTATCGATTCTGTGCTGTCTGATGTATGCACTTTTCCATGGACTGTGAATGAAACCTGGCTTTATTACTTTTCTTCTCTTGATGTGCAATGGTTCATCAATCCCTGAAGCATCAAAGAATTCAAGAGAATAATTCCCTTTACCAATAATAAAAATCACACATTTAAAAATGTATTTCATTTTCCTCTAGGCTTAAAACCAGTAAAATGCAGGACACAGTCTAATTTCTAATACTGTTATTAAGGAATGTAACAATAATGTAAAGTGTGTATTCTGGCATATTTTTGTATTCATTATTTCATTTCTTTCTAAAAATGATTCCAGGAGAAGTTGGTGAGGATTGTTTGTTCATTGCTTGTGTGAATGTAAAATACTACAACTGTTGTGGAAAACAGCACGTTGGTTCCACCAAAAAATTAAACACAGATGTAACATATGATCAAGCAAATCCACTTTACAACATATACTCAAAAGAATAAAAGGAAGACACTTGAACAAGTGTAACTGTACACCTGTGCTCATAGCAGTATTATTTACAATAGCCAAGAGGCAGAAGTAATCCAAGGGCACACTGACATGTGGAAAATCACTCGGCCTTAAGAGAGGAAGTTCTGACAACTGGATAAACTCTGAAGACAATATGCTAAGTGAAATAAGGCAATCATAAAAGGGCAAATATCATACGATTACCTATCTGAGATACCTGTATCAGTCAAATTTATAGAAATAGAAAGTGGTTGCCAGGCCCTGGGAGAAGGAAGATTGGGGGGTTATTAAATGGACATGGAATTTCAGCTCGGAAAGATGAAGAAGCCCTAGAGACAACTGCTGGTGACTGCAGCACAAAATATGAATGTATTTAGTGTAATTGAACCATACACTTAAAATTGCTAAAATAATAAATTTTATTATGTACATGTTACCACAATTTTAAAAAGTCATTAAAAAATGATTCTATGAGAGAAGGTGATACAGATGATTAATCCCACTTTATACGGACACTAGAGAAGGAAGGTTTCTCTGGTTAACCAGTCAGGGGTCTGGGTCAATTCGAAGTTTCATTCATTGGACTGGCCACCAATGTTGTCCACCTGACGTCCTGACAAGCCAGGGGAGGATCGCCTTCAGTGTGATCTTACTTCACTGTGATTCTTTCAGAGAAACTGTGCTTCTTAGAAGCAAGTAATATTTTTATATATTTTTGTCAAAATGATTATTTATTTAGATGTTTGCTGGAAAAAAGTCCTCCACTTAATATTGATGATGTCTATTCCCTTAGAAGAAGATCTTTAAAAAACAAAATAGTTTTTAGGAATATAAGCTCCACAACACGAAGAAAATGGCAGGACATCACTATTTTTTAAGATGTCAGCTGGGCATGGTGACACATGTCTAGGAACTTAGCACTCAGGAGGCTGAGGCAAAAGGATCCAGAGCCTAAGGCCACGTTGGGCTCCACGGTGAGTTCAAGTTCAGCCTGAACTGTACAGTGAGACTGTGTCTCCAAACCAAGTCAAACTCAAACCCAAACCCAAAAAACCTCACATCCAAAGTCTAGCTCATAGTAGGTGTTCAATAAATATTTATGGAAGGAATGAATGGAATATTCAATATTTGATAACACAATTTTTTAGTTTCCTTTACATTGTGTTCATCTCGACTCTTTAACTAGTGAATCCAAATAGGTGAAGAATGTAAATGAAGATCCAATCTTTGACAAGGTGCCCAAGTTCCTCTTTTTCACTTATTCACCATTATTCCACTTGCACATAAAATTTACTTTTATTTTGTTACTTACTTTCAGAATCATACTGCTTTTCTAAAGTACCAACAAACGCTCTATGCCAGTTTGAACCTTACCCTCTTCTTTGCATTTCTCTCTCCAGAGAAGGTTGTCTTCAGCCAAAATTCTCCAGTATCGACATGTCTGGGCTGCTTGTAGCAGGTCTTTGGGTTCCAGAAATGAAAGCACATAAAGTGCCAGCTACAGAAAAGAAAAACCACATGGTATATTCATATTTTTAAAAGCTGTAGAAAAAATAAGTTAGTTATTTGCTGTATAAGACACTTACTTACATATAAATATAATTCTACATTATAATGTCTAAATTAACAAAAGGCAGTACATTCAGTCTTTACAAATATAAGCTAGACATTAAAAATAAATGCCCTACAGGTTTTTATGAACATCAATAATTCTACATCTTGAAGGAATACTGATTAAATATGTGTCTCTACTTCTGCCTTTGTTCTGTGAATCTCAACAGATTTTATATTTTATTTTTCACTTTATTATTTACATTTGTTTTCCCTCCGTACTACAATGTAATTTCACTAAGTGCTTGTCTGACAGCCTGACTGATAAGAAATAGGATTTTTATAGGTTCTGCATGATATAATTTCAGATCATTTGTTAGATATCATAATTAGTTCTTCATCACATCAAAGTGTTTACTACAATGATAAACTTTGGAAACATTTACACCCTTGACACCCAAGACAATTATTAAACTGCTCCACAGACATATAAAGGTAATTAGGCTCTAATTATTTTATGTTGTTTATGGGGATTTTTCTTGATGGGCCACATAGAGTTATATATTTGAGATAGCTCTTCAGTACACTATTGATTTAAAAATTTTGTTTACAATATTTGTAAACTATCATTTTTTTCACTGTGTATAGTCAATTCAAGTAAACAAGGAAAAAGGAAAGAAGTAAAATAATGACCTCTTGACATATATAAAAAATTACGATATGACAATAAAAACGTATCTAAACAGAGCAATAAAGTTCAATTTTCATAAACTAAAAGACAAAGATTAAATCACTACCATATAAAGGGCCAAGGGTCATACAGGGGGTGAAAGCACAACTTGAATTATTTTTTGAAGCCGAACAGGAATTACATGATAAAAATTCTTTCTTCCCAGTGACTCTAAATATGTAGAGTTCACCACTAATCTCCTATTTATTGAGTACATTCTACACACAAAATATCAACTAGCCAGTATCACACTTCAGTCTAATACTACTATTGATGAATGACAGTGAAAACTTTTCATGAAATAACTGTTTTTGTCTATTAGAGAAGAGCATTCAGCATCACATCTATATAGTCATTTAAGATAAAAAGGCATAACAATACTCTACAATCTATGTGTATATATATGTATATATGCATAAGTATATACTTATCATTCAACGTATTTTTTAATGGGAACTCAACAAGCTATTTAATTTTGAAATCAAAAGCCTAAGCAATCAAAGCCTAAGCAAGTTAGCTTAGTTTCAGTGTAACAGTAATGTGATGTCATCATACTATCAACCTATGTGAAAATTATAATCTAATACAGATGTAACCAGGCACAAAGATATTTATGCAAGAGATGCTAATTAATGCCCAAGATATTTATAATGGTCATATGAAAAAAATCTATTCTTTGCTTTAGTTATTTGACTGAAGTGGAAATCAGGTAATTCAAAGGCTAGGATATAACAAATCCAGAACAGTTTAGATTTCAAAGCACTAGGTAAAATTTCCTTCATTAATAGTGATTAAGAGACCGTCAAGTCCAGTGTCCGCATGTATTAAAGAGAAATGTAAAGCAATGGCCAGGTACTAAGGAAAGTTAAAGCAGAGCTTGACAGATAACCAGCATACTTTCCTTTAAAGTAGTAAAGTCTCTAAGTCAACCATGAACTTCAGCTGCTTAGTTTGTCTCTACAGTATCTATCTACTTCCATCAAAACAGAAAACTATGGGGGGAGGTGGCTAGAACTAAGGAAAAACATGTCAGCAAAGGGAAAAAGCAGCACACAAATTGTTGTCGACAATGATACGGTTTTTTAATTAATCTGCCAAACAGTAAGGGAACCGCAATTAGTTACATGATTCTAACCATGCATTATGGAGAAGTACAGCAGGTCCTCAAAGCAAGTCTGGTCATGTAGGGCTCTGAAATGGGACTAAACGTTTGTGTCACCTCAAATGTGTTACAATTCTAACCCCCAAAATGTGACTTTGGAAGTGGGGCCTTTGGGAGTTCATTAGGTCGTGAGAAAACGCAGCTGTCAGTAATGAGATTAGTAACCTATAAAAGGGACCCCTGAGAATTCTCACGTCCTCTTTCTGCCGTAAGACAACAGAAATCTACAATCTGGTAGAGGGTCCTTCCTGATCCTGAACTTCCTAGCTTCCAGGACTGTGAGAAATACATTTCTGTTGTTTGTAAGTGTATGGTACCTTGTTATAGCAGCTGGAACTAAAACAAGCTCCTTAGAGGGGACAGAGAGCACAATATTGTTCCTGAAAGGTAGCCAATACTCCCCAATAATTGCTGTATTTTAGGAGACCGAATTAGTCAAGGGAAAAAATTTAAAGAACAACAATAACAAAAATGTTAGCTAACCCTGTAATTATCAAGTTTTGTTCTGGACCACCTAACCTTATCACTATGAGCCTTCTGGTATTTACTTTCCAAATAAGAATTATGCTATTTATCACAAGTTTGTCATGTGAGACTAGAGTAATTTTTATCAACATTTTTTGAGATTAATACGTAGATGTCAGTAAAGAGCTTTGAGATCTGCTCAAATGAATTATAAGAAAAATACCGTAAGTCAATCTTCTGACATGCAGGTAATGTTTTAAATAATAGTAAAACTGAGTCTTTGATCAAAGTGCTAATTTCCTTAAGGACTTAGATCTGTATTATTATTTCTCCACGTATAAAATAAAGTATTTTTCAAATTCGGAAACTTTTTCTAGTATCTGTAAACAAAAAACTGAAATAGGTGATACTCTAAGCCAGCACTCTCTCCCGTTTTTCAATTTGGCTGCACGTTTTCTTTTTCCTCAGGTAAACTTTAAAAGAACACTTAAGAGAATTTTTATTGGATTTATCCTCATTTGTTCTCTTAAGACTCTTTAGAGTATTTTCAAATTCTACTGATTTTAAATCACATTTAAATTACATTTTTGTGAGTTAAAACATTATTACAAAAAACATACAGGGAGGTATTTTTTGTTTTGTTCCCTGTATTTCTTTCAGGGAACAAAGAAAACCCCATCATTCCTAGAGATAAAGAGACAAACTAGACTGAGAAAGTAAGTACATTTGAACAAAAATGCTGCCCTCTAAAATCAGGAGGAGATATATATCAGGCAAACTATCAAAAGTATATAAAAAATGAATAAACTCACTTTCACTTAAATATAAAAGTATTTCTTGTTATTAATGCCCTTCTGGAAGGAAAGAGAGCTTATGTCATTTTCATAAGCCAAATCTATTCAAAGGGTTCAATTTCAGAAAAGACTAACAAGAATAAACATTTTTTCCCCCGCTTTTAAAAAACACCCCAAAGAAAAAATCATTTTAGGAGAAAGGTTTTTTTTTTAAAAATCAATTTTGCTTTACCCTGGAGTTATGCTTAGTTTCATACACTAAATATGATAAACCTATTTTATTCATATCTAACATGAAATTAAAACTGGTACTATTAGAATATTTAGAATGATTATCTGAAAAAAAATTCACTCCTTTTCAAGTTTAAAGCTTTGGGATTTTTATATATACAAATTTTTAAGTATTTTATCTTCTTTGCTGACATAGTATGATATTGTGAAAATATATATCATGGGGACAATGACTATTTAATGTTATATTATTCTTGTTTGCTGACAAAAATAAAATCAGATCAATAATCTAAACTATGCTTTATTTTTATAGGTAAGAATGCTCATATTATCATAGTTTATGACAAGAAACAGTACTCATTTACATAAAAATTAAAAAATGCAAATACATAACTCCAAAGAAGTGCCATGAGAATGTAATCGGTACGGGAAGTCTGTGAGTATGTGTCTAATGGAAGCAGAGAGCGAGATGATTAGCACAAAAGATACACATATGACATTCTATGTATCTAAGTAATTATGTGATGTATGTACAGTGATACCTCGGTTCATGACTTTAGTTCTTTCCATGATTCTGTTGCAAACTGAACTGGATGAGAACCAAATTAAATTTCCCCATAAGGTCAACACTGAACCTAACCACTGAATTTGACTCGGTTCTTGTCCAATTTGGTTTGTGAGCAGAATCGCAGAAAGAACTGAAGTTCATGGACTAGGTACCATGGTACCAGAGAACTGCAATTCAACAGAAGCATAAAACAACTGGTCTTGAAGGGACTTAGGCTAAATGACAAAATAAGAAAAAAAGCATTGCTGGTTTAATAAAATCAGAATTTTTAAAATATCCACTGTAAATAATGAACATATTGAGACAATTTAAAATTGGGCTTCAGATAACCTAGAAACAAAAAAATCTTGGTAAAGAAACAAGGCAATGAATCAAACTCAAAAAGTTACTATGTATTACTGATTCAAATAACAGAAAGAAGCAACTTAGTCCCTAATCATACTTTAATCTGACAACTAACATTACTACATAATTGTTTATCAATTTAGAGCCCTCTTTGCTATTAGTAACTACTGCTTTACTACTAGTTAGTACTACTGTACTAGTGTCAAACTAAAAATACTGGATAACAAAATTAGCATAATACTGCTTAACAGTGATAGCTGTTGAGTTGTACTTTCAAATCCCACCCAACAAAGGAGGTAACTTGCAATCCTTACCTCTTTAGGGAGCAGGGAAATGAAGTCTCTCTGAAACTGAGGCTCTATCACTTGCATCATATGTTTCACTTGTGTTGGTTCACAACTATCAATGAGTTCATCTAAAGCAAGCAATTTTTCTGGTCCACTCCAGCTCTATCAAAGAGGCGTTCAAAATTATTACTATTTTAATAGAGGACCCAAATGATAAATTCATAAAGAAAAACACACACCCATACACAACCATATTTGAACAAGGCAAGAATCCTCCAAAAAGTGACTACTTACAGTGATATTTTCTACAGAAGTCATTGTAGTGATAGCAGTTTCCTCTAATCAAGTTTACTACCTCTACTTTATACGAGGTTTTTAAAAAGTCCTAATTTTGACAGAAAAAAATGTTTGCACATTGTAATAACTGCTTGAGATGTCAAAATTTTACTCCAGGAACAACAGTTTTGAGTTACTGAGTAAAGAGAGAATTTGATGATTTTTTTTCTTTTTCTATATTCTTTCTAATGGGCACCATTTTTCATAAGTCATATATCTAAGAGTTAGGAGATTAGCAGCATCATTTACAGAAAAGTTAATACCTGGATTGTGCACAGCTGACATGGGTCTTCTACAAATTAAAAGGGCAGCTTTATGAAAATAATTTCCAATTTAAAAATAGCAAATAAAACACTTATTTAAAAATAGCAAATAAAAAATAGTAAAATTAGAATAAGAAATAAAGTGATACACTACAGAAAAACAAAAATATGTAATCATACATCAAAAATATAACAACACTAGAAAATTACTTAAAAATTTTTTTTCATTTGCAGTGAGGAACACCTGCATTTAAAAAGCTAGGATTTGCCTGCTGCGCAAGCGCAAGGACCCGAGTTAGATCTCCGGTACCAAAAAAAAAAAAAAGCTAGGATTCTTGGCCGGGGATTTAGCTCAGTGGTGCTGCGCCTGCCTCTCAAGCACAAGGTTCTGAGTTCGATTTCCGGTAACACACACACACACAAAAGCTAGGATTCTTAAAAAGAAAAGCTTAAAAGTCATATGAATAATTTAAATTATAGGAGTTTCATAATAATCATGCAAAACATGTAAAGAGCGTCATGATAAATGAAAAAACATCTTTGAGCAGGGCTTTGTTTCTGTAAAACGATGCTGATTTAAATACTTTTGTGAATTATGATGTCCCTTCGGAAGAGAATGAATAGAGAATAATAGGTGAGATTCAGAGCTAGAAAAATATGAACTCTGACATTCTATTTCTTGCTCAAAAAACGGTTAGGGCCAGGGATTTAGCTCAGTGGCACAGCACCTGCCTGGCAACTGTGAGGTCCTGAGTTCAATCCCCAGTACCAAAAAAAAAGAAAAGAAATGGTTGCTCAGGCTCATGTAAAATATATAATAATTGAAAACAAATATATTAAGGATACAAGGCAGCCTTACTCAAAATACTTTAGAGTACTTTTGAAAGTATTTAGCCTTTTAGAAGCTACAATGAATTTCACCTCTTCTTTCCTATCATGAACTATGATTCATGGTATTACTGTGAAACATTTTCAATGGTATTCAACTATTCCTACAATATATTAAAATTTACCACCAAGTACAACGAACTAGAGGCGTCAATAAACTTGCATCTTTTCACATACATTCAGAACATTCATGTTGAGTACTTACTTGGCATCCTTTTTGGTCAGAGTGAGGACTTACACATAAAAATTTGAAATTTGGATCTGTATGTACATACATGATCAATCAAAAGTATTTGATTATATTTTTGCCTTATATAATTTCAAATATTGACTCAATTACATACTGCATACATGTACTAATAAAAATAAAAATACAAAAAACTGGTTTAAAACTTATGTATTTGATAATTCGATCAATCTCCACTCTATTTAGTATCAATAATATGTAGCTCACTGATTTACTGATTTATATCCCTCACAGAATGAGATGGGTTTTCATAATATGGTCTTTTTCTCCATCTATGTTGTATTTGTGGAAATTATTATTGTAAGAATAGGCCCATTATGAGTGATGGACAACTATGCTGACTCAAAATGCAGCTTTAATTAAGGCATTTGATAGAAAATAATTTTAGTATAAACTTTTTAATCTTCATATATATGAACATCTGGTCTAAAAATATTCTTAGAAGTGTTCATGGTTAAATTTTGACAATAAAAACAAAGATTCTGTGTACATTTATAGAAAGATGTGTTACTACTCTATATATTTTACATATATTCACCACACACAAGTAATTCTATCTCTAACCACCTGTATCTATATAAAGCTAAAGGAAAGCTTGCAGTGATGCCTCCAGTGCTAATCCTTACCAGTGGACTGTTCTAGCTTCCTCCCCTTGTTCCTATTCCAGTACTGGGAAACTTGCTCTCTACATCTGCCTTCCATTTACTGAATTGTTGGATTCCAGGATACTTGTGGGGTGACACCACTTGCTAGCCTGTCCCCTCAACCAGGAGATGCTGTCGCCAGCTGGAGTTTAGTGCACAGTTTCTTCTGCCTTTAGTTCTACAGACTTTACTCATTTTCAGAGTTGCCTTTCAGTGAGGTTGTTTCCTATATTTGTAATACTATTCAATTGTTCTGTCACATTTTTTACTTCTTCCTGGGACCCTCTGACCTTCTACATACTTTTTAAAAATTTGCAAAGATTCAGACTTTGTGCTGTACAGATCAGTGGGTTTGACAACTGCATAGAGTCATGTACTAACAGTGACCATAGGAACCGTGTCACCACTCTACACAATCCCATGCGCCTTGCTTACTCCCCCTTCCCTTCCCTACAAACTCCTGGCAGGCCACTCCTGTTCTACTGTGTCTCCAGTTTTGCCTTGTCCAGAATGTCCTGTCAATGGAATTGCACACTGTGTTACCTTTGCAGGCTGGCCTCTTTCACTTAGCAGTATACGTTTAAGACTCATCCATGTTGTTGTGTGGCTTGAGTGTTTTGTAAAAAATCTTATTACAAATAACATTCCATTGTATATCTATGTCTCCCTTTTTAGCATTTCAGTTATACTCCCTTTGCAAATTTTTGTAATGGTCCTAGAGTTTTCAATATACATTCTTAACTAACTTAAAAATAAAAGTATACTTCAGATAACAATATAGTGGATTACATCTAGTAGAACCATAACAGATTTTTCCCAATTTCTGTCTTCCATCCTGATGACATTGCTGTCATTCATTGCATTTAAACATATGCTATAATTGTTAGATATATTTTTATTGCTTTAATCAGTTATTTTTAAAATAA